ACTAATAGAAGTGTTTTTATTTAGCTTTTGACATATGACTTTTTCGATCAAAATTCTCGTATCTCTAAGATGTTCACGTGAGAGCGATAGTTCCATGCCAGTTTATAGGTAGGATATTTGATTGTCTATGTCATACTATTGTTAGAATTTTAACTAATTCCGACGTTACCGAATTTTTTGTTACAAGACACTTGAGAAGGACCCAAACCCCCCCGGTCGAAACATTGTGATTAAGCGTCACTGTCACTCGCCATTTGCGTCGATTCAATAAAGATTCCTGTTTTGAATTATTATTGGCGGATTAATCTTCATTTTTTATTTATATACAAAAAGCGATTCGAAAATAAGTTCATAATATAAAACATTTATTTTCACATAATTACTTCTACTACATATAAAATTAAAATCTCTATATTAAAATCTACAAATTAGTAATTATTATCTGGAGTATCAAATCATTTCAAGATTTTTTTAGGATTATACATATATTTTGAATTAATCTCAACCATATTTGTAATACGCAAAATATAAAAAACTTGTGACACTACGTAATTATTATAATGTTTATTAACATCATCCTCAGTTCTTAGTGAGCTCTCAAGACGGAAAGGTCGCGATAGTGTAGATAGACGTCTGGCAATTCGTAACTGGTTTATTTCCACAAACACTACTGTTTAGAAAATTACCATGGAATTATTAAAATTGAGGATTTAATTAATGTAAATGCGTCAGTTTGGTCAAACAATACTGCTTATTAAATTTCAATGACAAAGAAAAAAAGTTTTTAATTTATTATACACCACTGACCTTAACGATGGTGCTTTGGACTAAATATGGATTTTTTGAGACCATCACAAGGAATTATGGACACGACAACACACGTCTGAAGTCATGGATCAACATAAGGAACAGAATTTGCAGATTGAGCCAACAGCTCACTTTCTTAATTCGTTGTAGGAAATATGATGTATTACCGTCGCACATTTATAATACAAAGTTCAACATCTTTTTCCACGGCAGTAGGGCTATACGCAAGCTAGATAATCTCAAAAGACGGAGCCAGGCAGGTAAATATGGTAAATATGGTAAATATGGAAATCGGTGATTGCCATTATCTTTTGAAACTCTTAAGATCCAGAATTATAAACATTGAAAAACTGTTATTCAGAAATTTACCTGAGAATTTGGTTATTGATTTTTTCGAGTCAAACAATAACAAGGTCATGAAATATAATAACACTTTAAAGTTAAGTTAATCACCAAATTCAATTGGATAATGAGAAAGCGAAACATCTCGGTAGACCCTTTTTCGAAGATTGATAAATCGAGGTGGTTAGTTAACATAGTAATAAACAAATACCGGATTCGGTTTCGAGTTTTCTTAGCCTGAGTGATAAATTCGCGCTACCAATCAATCAATTCGACAATAGAGACCGCGCAAATTCAGTTTTAGAAGTGATAAAAAACTTCGAAGTAAATGTTCACAAATTTCCGGATAGCGCAGTTAATAGCGTTCAAGGCTCGTTGACAGATTCGTTGCATAGATTTTTAGTAGATCAAAATCATGTTGACAGGGTCGACCGCTACATTTTAAATAAGTATGCCAAATGCAAAAAATTTTTGCGAGATAACCAGGATGTCTTTGTCACGAGAGCTGACAAGGGTCAAGTTACGGTCATTATGGACAGAGATGAATATCTCGAGAAAATGACTGAATTGCTTAATGACCAGTTCATTTACAAAAAACTAAAGAAAGATCCTATCAAACAAATTTCATCGAAACTTAATGAACTTGTCAGATCTTGGAGGGACGGAGGCATCATCGAGGACGTAGTTTACCGGCGCTTAAATTGTACGAACGGCAATCTCCCACGCTGTTACGGGCTGCCAAAGATCCACAAGAATGGTTTCCCGCTACGGATCATCGTTTCGGCTCTGGGAAGCCCACTATATAACGTAGCTTCTTTTCTCCACAAACATTTACAACGTTCCATCCGCACCCCCGAGTCTCATATCAAGGATAGTTGGTCCTTCGTGAAAGAAATCAATGACAGAGAGATCAAGGCCTTAAAGCAATAGAGAAACGTTGGCAGGACATTTCCAAGATCACAAAGCTCAGTTTACCGCAATTTTTGCATGCTATTGAGCTGGTACTGAGATCTACCAGTTTCAGTTTCAACGGAAACACATACGAACAGATCTTTGGCAGCCCGATGGGATCTCCTCTATCACCAGTATTGGCCGACATTGTAATGGAGGATCTGGAGACTCACTGTCTTGCCTCGCTCGATTTTTGTTTGTCGTTTTACCGCAGATATGTCGATGATGTCATTGCCATAATACCTAAAGACAAAATTGGGGATGTTCTTGCAGTTTTCAATAACTATCATCCGCGTCTAAAATTCACACATGAAATAGAAGTTAACGAGGCTATCCCCTTTCTAGATGTCCTAATTATCATAAACAATAACAGACTTTTGACTAATTGGCACAGAAAACCTACGGTTTCGGGCCGTTATGTCAATTATTTTTCCAATCATCCACTGAGGTACAAAAATAACACGATCACAAGCCTGGTTGACCACGCAATTTTACTTTTGGATAAACAATTTCATAATTCTAACATTAAAACTGTAAAGGACATCCTTATAAATAACTGCTTCCCTGAAAATTTTATCGACAAGCAAATTAACAAGAGACTAAAAGAGCTAAACTATCGCAAGAACATCATCAACTCGAGTAATGTCAGCAGTACTTTCGATGCCCGGAGACATATAGCGTTTCCTTATGTTAAGGGTTTAAGCGAGAATATTCGCCGTACTGTGAATCGATGTGGCTTGGAGGTCCTTCACACAATTTCCAAAAAACTTGACTCAATTATAAGACGTGGCAAGGACAAACTGGACAGCATGAAGGAAACAGGTGTAGTGTATAAAATTGACTGCAACGATTGTAATGCGTCCTACATAGGACAAACATTAAGACACTTGGAAACTCGTGTGAAGGAGCATCTGAGTGACATTAAGAAAGATGAAAGCAGGCGCTCCGTAGTCAGCAAACACCGATTGATGCATGGGCACGATTTCAAATGGTCCACTGCCGAAGTTTTGCATAGGGAGAAAAATGTGAGAAAGAGAGAGATAGCGGAGATGTTTTATATCAAAAAACATAACAATACGATCAATCTCCAAAAAGACACCGAGAATCTTAATCCGCTATATGACCGAATTATAAGTGCTACATAACATTTCTCTCTTTGTTTTTCTTCTGCGACCCACTCTTGTATTTTGTATATTTAAGTAGTTCGATGCCGTCCTCTGACTCGGAATGACTGCTCTCACATGTCTCCGTTCCGATTACTTTTGAACCCTGTGCTACATCGCATTGTTAATTCAGGATGGATCGAGGCTCCTTCATTTTAATAATTAGACAACATCGAAATCTGACAAACTGATAAACTGCAAGAAATTCACGTGCGACTAATATGAGATAGGTATATATTTTCCGTTCCTACGGCCTTTGTTCCTCGTTGCGATATATTATTATGTAACATGACTTCTTGCCACCATAACTTCCTATTTAAATTTAAAAGTTTTCGAGATCAGATAGTCGGACGTGTTACGGACCATTTACGGAAAACATTATTAGATATGCATGGTCACGAGGAAAAGAGGAGTAGAAGAAGTTGCAGATAGTAGCAGTTGCAGCCCTATAAAAAATGCCTGCCAAATGTTAATGTTGCTTGGAATACAAGAACACTGTTGGTTGGAGACGTCTTCAAGGGAAGGTTATAACGATCGTTATACATACGAAGAAGTTTTCGAAAGGCATTTTTTTAGAACAAAGTGCCAGGTTTAGTACTCTGGATAAGGACACAAAACAAGTGTCGAAACGTCGAGGATTTAATTAATGTGAATGCGTCAGTTTGGTCAAACAATACTGCTTATTAGTAATTATTATTGGATTGCAATTATTATACGATATCATATATTACCTTACATAATTTGTAAATGTAATAATAAAATATGGGTACATCGTGTCGCAATTTGTTATCGTACTGCTCTTCGATTTTCAGCGAACGTCAGCTTTAAAAGAAACGACAATACGGTACGACGGTATACGTGCGGCAAACACCGATAGGTTTAAAAATATCGGCCGGGCGAAATCCTGTCTGTGTATGGGAAATTGCAATTCGCAAGATACGCGAGAGAAGAATAATATCGCAACTTCGTTCCGTCGTGTAACGCGATCTCCTCCGACGCGATATCACGCGCGCAAGTTTTTAATTAAGAACGAGGGCAAAACGAAAGCACGCTCGTGCCGCTGTTTATTGCACGACTATCACGCCGAGACAATCGCGATAAAGCGAAAGCTCGTCCGCATTCTTCGACCACTTATTATTAAGAGGGTGGCATCACAATTTTCTCTGTTAGAACGGTAAAGAACAAGTCACTTTTGCGTCTTTCTTCTTAAATGGAATTTCCTTTTATTTAATCTTTGATTGCAAAGAAGAGCTTTGCGTTGGTACAACATTTCTGAACCTTTCGATCAGCGAGACCACACAATAATCAATCTTTTAAAATCAATCCCTTCCTTCTTTCCTTCCTTCGTATTTATTTTCCTTAACAAGGGGATGCGTTTAGATCCTTTCCGCACACGATACGCTATTACGTGATTGCTTTACGGAAGGACCTTTTTCCGTTTCCATCGGACGTGCGCATCGTGAAGAATCGCCACAAGAGTCACGACGGACTCGGAGATCATACAATGCTGAGACTCGGACTCGGCAGAAATCCGACCGCGGCCGTAGATCGTCCGATTCTATTATATTACCCGACCCCTTCGCCGATACGTTTTCTGCATAATATTTTATTTCACATGCCTATACCATGCCGACGAATGTTTGTGGAAAACATCGATCAAAAGCACTTATTGCAAGAACTGCTCTCTTTCCCTTCCGGGTGCGTGAGTGAATAACCCGTTCGCTCTTAATTTTGCAGAAAAATGAAGCTCGACCTCCAGCTGGACCGGGAGAAGGGCCTCGAGCTCTTCGGCAAGCTGATACGTACAAAGAACATCGAAAGTCTGCAGGGTGACCAGCCCAAAACCGGTCCCGAGCCACTTCATCCAGCCGACTCCAAGCAGAAATTACAGGTAAATAATGATAACAGTATAATCATTAGATATAAATTTAATCTTAGATATAACATTTTGGGGTCCATTAAATGTCAATTAAACTTTCAAACGTTATATTTTAAAATATAAAATTGAAACCGTGTCGATAGAATTTGGCTCTTTATGTCTTTACTATAGTGGCTAGATGTTTTGTTTCCGCCAATTGCTTGCCGGAATTGTTACACGAATAAGCAAAGGAAATCAAGGAGATTATTATAATGAGAGAGGTAACTAACAACGAGAGTAAATTAATGAGCGTTTAACAGCGCGCGTTGCTCCTAATCATCAATTAAAGCCAACTTTTAGAGCGGCGAAAATAAAGTTACTGATGGGGACTCATGAGGAAACTTCCGTTAACTGTTGCGTTAATAAAATTATAATTCTCGCAAATGCTGACAATATCGCGCAGTTATAAAAATAATTTCACACGATTATATAAACGACGGAGGCATCGTCCTGCTTGTTTCAAATTTGCCCTAATAAGCTAAAACGCTCCCTCCTCCTTTCGTCAGCAAAGACGGCGTCCATTAGGGAACACGAAGTTTTGCGAATGACGAAGTCGAGTGTATAAGAAGTAAATGCGCGTGGTACACGAAAAGCTGTCGCCGGGAAATTTGTCGTCTGCGCGGACGAGCTGATGGTGACCTGTAATTTCTCAAAGAGACATGGGTCCTCCGTGTATGTATATTTTATGTGTGTGTGCGTGGTATATATATATATATATATATATATATATATATATA